AGTTCGAACACTGGTTACATCCCTAGCAAGAATGCATTAAATTGATCAAAAATCACGTTTAAGGCATTTATAATGTTACAAAAGACTTGTGTTTTTTTTTCTATTAATCAAAGAATCCCAAACAGAAAAATGTATGACAGTTTCCACAAAAATATTAAGCACCACAACTTTTTCAGCATTGATAATGATACAAAATGTTTCCAAAGTCCACGGTATAGTTCGAACACTGCTTACATCCCTAGCAACAATGCATTAAATTGATCAAAAATCACATTTAAGGCATTTATAATGTTACAAAAGACTTGCGTTTTTTTTCTATTAATCAAATAATCCCAAACAGAAAAATGTATGACGGTTTCCACAAAAATATTAAGCACCACAACTTTTTCAGCATTGATAATGATACAAAATGTTTCTTGAGCAAATCAGTGTATTAGAATGATTTCTGAAGGAGCATGTGACACTGAAGACTGGAGTAATGATGCTGAAAATTCAGCTTTGCATCACAGGAATAAATTATTATTTTAAAATGTCAATAATATTTCACAATATTACTGTTTTTATAATCAAATAAATGCAGCCTTGGTGAGCATAAAAGAAACAAACTTTTTATCGGTAGTGTACTTTTCATTATGTACTGGAAAATATTGTGTATTTAAATATATATATATAGTGTTAGATAGATTGTACCTTTTTCATTTGCATCAAGATACAATTCATTATTACTTCACTTTTAATTAAATTTGATTTAATTAAACATTTTTATAATCTCAAAGTGGACTAATCTCGGGCACTATTTCAGTCTATCACAAAATACTCACACAAATGCGTACTTCAAAAATACAACAGAAACAGTATACAGTACTTTTGACATTTTGCGTTCACTGTACTATGATTTGGGACTTCATCCTAATCTTGCATGCTATTTAGGATGAATACAATGTAAACTGGGATGCAGCCAAAGGGTTTTTTCAGTCTGGATCTTTGATTCCAGGATAGACTGAATTTGCTTTGGTATGCAATCCCAAATTACACTTTTAGGGTCAGATTGGGTGCAGAGTGTACATATCTTCATGCTTTGGAAACATCTGTTACCAAGCATAAAATATCATTGTAATCAATTCCTGTTTATGCAGTTTAACATAACAGGTACCGTATAAACGCAGGAGAGCATGGGCTATGGGATCCCATTGTCATGGCAGAAGCGAATCCACAATCTATCTGGATATTTTGTGATGTTTTTCTGAGAGGCTAGAGAAAGAGATTGGAGTCAGGCAGCAGAGGACATAACTCAAGACCAGAAATCCAGAGCACCAAATAAGGCAGGACGGGGATCTCCTCTGCTTTTGCCTGTTTCCATCCAAGAATTACTCCCTGTTTAAGAAAAAAACACTTCCAAACAAATAGAGCCATGCATTTTAATCAAACTAACCTTTCATATCAAGTTGTAAATCTAAAATTTGGAACAATGTTCACTTTACCAATAAAATGCAGGCTCCACAAAGACTTTTATTCACTAATTATCTAGTTTTATCTATGTACTGATGCTTCAAAGAACCTAAAAACACTGATCTGAAGAACTTATAATGTCAATTTCCAAAGAAGCATATAGTAACTCAAGAACAACATAGAGCCTAAATGTTGGGTTTTTCTAAGAAGAACCATTATTGAGTGCAAACCACACTAAAGCTAACGACTGTAGAAATTAGATAAATGTAATTAAAATCCCAGGAAACTACTCACCGTTTAAAAAATCACCTCCAAACAAATACAGTCATGCATTTTAATCAAATGAACTTTTTATATAAAGTTGCAAATCTAAAATGTTTGTGTTCACTTAACCAATAAATACTCCTAAAAAGTGGTTTTACACTGTTTTGGTGGAACTTTTAATCTCCACAAAGACTTTTATTAAATAATTCTCTAGTTTCATGTACCAATGCTCAAAAAATCTAGAATCCAAAACACTGATATGAAGAACCTATAATATCAATCTCCCAAGAACCACATAGCAACTCAAGAACACTATAGAACCTAAATGTTGGGTTTTTGCTAAAACAAACCATTACTGAGTGCTTGCAAACCACACCAAAGATCATGACTGTAGAAATGACATGATTAAAACCCCAGGAAAGTTGAGTCTGGGGAAATTAATATTCCTACATGAGATCTTCCAGGATTAGTCACAAAATGAGCTCTGGAATTTTTGTTCAATTTCATTATTGTAAGCACCTGCTAAAGTTCATGTCAAGTCTAATTATATTCTTTCTTTCCTTCCCAGAAAACAAGTGTAGTTCTCCCCCATTGATTATTGGTCATGTGCCACAAACATCCTGCTGCATGCATTTGGACTGGCGTGATTCAAGGGTTAGTAATCTCTTGTACAGCTAAAACTCACACACACACACACACACACACAGCCACAGCAGAAAAGTGATAAAACTCTTTATCAATCTCAAGGGAAAAGCATTTAACCCCTGTGAGGCCAACAATTAGTCTCCATTATTCTTCAAAGATAAAGCCCTACCTCCTCTGGGTGAACTAGACAGAATATATACATGTCATATAATAAAGTAGGAATTCTCCTGTGAGGCCTAATCTAGGCGTTTCACTCTCTGGGATGTTTTCATTTCATTCCCATGTGTCTCCCTGACTGCAGTGCACTGATTAGCCAACATGACTGATCAATACTGATCCACTAGAGTGCAAAAGAGCTCATTCTGATCACAAGATCAAAGATTAACCACCAGTTTGCAGTCAGGACTCACAATTCAGACCTGAATAGATGAATCCATTCTGATCAATATGACAGAAGTTCACAATTCCTCACCAAGCACTATAAAAAAAGACACCAGATTTTCATTAAAATGCCTCTTTTCATTAGAAACTTGCAAACTTTATTACAAGCGTCATTGCTGTTGCTTATTTGTAATAAGTTAAACTAATGTGACTAGATAAGCCTATTGCTTCTGTTGGTTTACTTCCTTGCTGGGAAGGAAATGAGTTATGTTTCCTGTTTCCAAGGAAAAAAATACATGGGTCGGGAATCTCTGATTAATTCCATTACCCATCCTCATCAAAATTACCTAATGATCCACTATAACTACTTCTAATACTTAGGGAGGGTTAGTGACTTAAAACCACTTAAAAGTGTATTAAAACCACTCTGCTTTTGATACAAATTTGAATAATACTTCTAATCTGTATCATTTTTGCCTATCAGACAATGTAACGGGTGAAAACAATCTCATAAACTCATAGACTCAAGCCATCTAGGAATGAGAATATCATAGAGACTTCTAGGTCACATTAACAAACCTTTAACAAAATGTTGTCAAACAAAATGCCCATTGTCTATTGTCAATAGTGTAGCGAGGTAAGAAGGTCAGCCCACATAGAAATCACTTTCAAACTAAGCAGATTTCTATTTGTCAACGTGGCAAATCCGCATGACCAATTTGAACCTGTTGCGAAATTTGTGTGGGGAAATATTTTGCCCTCACACATAATTTGCGAGTGTGGTTTCCAATTGAAATGACTGGATTTTGCCAGTGAAAACTGCTGAATAAAATTAAATAAAACCACAACTTTACTTAGAACCTAGCAACCACCCAGAAAAGCCTAGCAACCTTAAAAACAATCTGAGAACTGTAACAACATTGGTGCATTGACCACCATCAACTTCTACATTGGCAGAAAACATTTTAATTTAAAATTAAAAATATAAAAGCCTAAATTAAACACATATTGATACAGAAACCATTTTTTCCCCCCAAATATACCATTCTAGAATTCCATTGCCTATTATTTTTATGCTCAGACTCCAGCCATGTGGGAGAATTGAACAGGAGCATGTGAAAAACTGTTTTATGAATGTAGCACGTCGAAATCTGTTACTCACGCTGGTCTGGATGTCACACCAAGAATCTGACCCAGTACTCAGCAATTACCGTCTAGATGCCTGAAGGGACGCTCCCTCTCATTAAGAAGTATGTGACATACGGACCCGACAGTCTGCAGTCTGCACTGCACCTTAAGTGACCTTCATAAGTAAAATCCATAACCATAACATGAGATGCATATCAACAAATGCATTATTTCAATATATATATATTTTATTCCTTTATGATGTAATATGACTAGTGTAAAAACACACAGTGTCACCAAAACATATTTGGATACTTATCTGAAAGTCACTGCATTAGCAATACCACACCAAGTGGCATCTGCAAACAGTCTACATTTTCTCAGAACTAACTAAAGTCACATTTCAGAGCCATTTTTGCAATGACTTTTAATCTAACTGACACTAAAATAATTTTAGTGGATGTAAGAAGTTCGGCAACCCTGATTTTGCCAATTAGAACATCATTGTGGATCAACATCAATCAATCAGAATGACTGGGAAAGGGCCAGAGTTCTGTAAGGTCTAGTTTCAGAGGCTTGTACACCTCAACATATCATTTCCCTCTAGTTTAGTGGTAGTAAATGGTTAGGGTTAAGTTTAGGACTGTGATCGTTTGATAAAACTGTTGTTGATGTTAATCCAGCAACATCACAGTGACCAATAAAATCACACAGGCGTCCAAGCCAAAATAGCCATAACCACAGGTGCTGCCATCACATTAACCACATCTATAGACATGTCCCACTAACATTTAACTATCAAAAAGTGCCAAAATACTGTTTGTCTTTATTTTAAACAGTGTAACAGAGTTTAAAACGTGTGCTTGTGATATGTTGCTACTTTTGTTATCTAATATGCAATGACATTCAAACATTTTAAGAGTGACTTGAGTGTTCAAATCCTTGTATCATACGCTCTCTGGCATCTTTACATTCACAATTTCCATTTCACTTCCAGGCAGCCACAAAGCATGAATCCCTCATTATGTTTCTCTCTGGCGTATAACATGCTGACTGACACATGCTGACTCTTTGAGTGCTGAAGCGGTTATATTCAGGTGACAGACGTACAGGTGAGTAAGGTGATACTTTACCTTCGATATGATTAACGGCTCGTCGTGTTCAAGCCCACCTTTGAGCGTGAAACCCCAGGGCGCTCCACCCTGCAACTGAGCCTTGACGAACACCAACTTTCCCTTTTGGATCACGGCACTGTTGCTGCCTGGAAAACTATTATCCATCGCTGGAATGTTTGGGGGAAAGAATGGACGAGGTCGCCCCTTAGTAACTCAGTCAACCAATAAACTCCGTCCAAGGATGTTTCTTCTCAGTCAAAACTTGATGGGCCATTTCCTCGAATTACTTCATTGGGGATAATTTAACAATCCCGATTCTTGTTTCTAGCACCTACCTTGCATCCCTTACCTGCCAGTCAGATTGAAGGAACGACACCACAACTTTTCCAGCCTTTCAAAAAATGTACATTTGCAAATAAGCAGTCAAATCTGATTTCGTGTACCACTTTTCCGGGCAGTGGTCTCACTTTTAAACTCCGTTTGTCAGCCCTTGCTCGCTTCCGACTTCATTTTTACATCACAATAGAATTTGATTCATTTCGCTGCGTCCGCAGAAAGCCGCGCGCTCAGATTCCTGTCAGGAAGAAAGAGTTCCTGCGCGAGCTTCCGAAATCATCGAATCGGTGCGAGCCCGCGTTTCAGCTTTTAAAATACATAGTCTTTAAGTTTTCTTTTTTTGTTGATGCGCTGAAACTCTCAGCAGCCATGGATGAGGGAGTCTGTGCTCGACCCCCCCCCACACACCCACCTACCTCCACAGTTCATCGGAATGGTGGTGACACGCATGCGCGAACTGTGCAACCCGCTCCACCACATTGAAATAATACAACAGCTCCCGAAATAACGTACTATATAGTGCCTATGACCGAAACTGCCTGACATAATGTAGTCAAATCACCACCTTGTCCTCCCACATAATGCAGGGAAAACATACAAACAGACTCTTATAACAAGTCTGGTCAAGTCATCCGATTCATATTTCGAAGTATTTTGCACGCATTCTGCTTTCCTTTCTCTCAAAGATTTCATCATTTTACTCAAAAGATTTGGATGAATAGATTTGACTGGAGTCCTTACCCGCAGCTTAACTGCTCAAGGGAATGGATATCAAGTTTTCTCGCCTCAGATAATCTCGGTTAATTAGGTTAAACATTTCTACCGTCCCAGAACTGGCCTTAAATGTTCTGTAAGCGATTTGAATACCAATCATATATCACCCGTGTTATTACTGTAATAAATGTATCTGTTTCTTTGACAATCATAGACTATGTGAGTCTGAGCAGCGGGCCTCCCTTTTTTACCCAATCACGAACGCCCTCTACCTGTCAATCATTTTGCGCGTTCAGCTTTGCTGACATGAGGTTTTCTGACAATGCTTTTGTGGGCGGGGTTATAAGGAAAGTGGGTGTGGTTGCAAAGATTGGAGTTGTTTACTCGTGGCATCATTTTGTAGGCAGTGTTGCCAACTTAGCAATTTTGTTGCTAAATTTAGCAACTTTTCAGACTACCCTAGTAACTTTTTCTTCCAAAAGCACCTAGCAACAAATTTAGCTATTTTTTAAAATTTATTTGGCAGCTTTTAGCAACTTTTGATAAGTGACTCAAACGATAAAAAGGCACAATTTACCATTTAAAAAAGAGGAAACCAAAGATGCCTAGCAGTACACACGTTACAGGAATTACGTTAGCTGCTATTTGCAATTGTTTAATTTTATAGTAATAATAATAATAATAATAATAATAATAATTGAATACTGTTATTTTTCATTTATGAGACACTTTGTTAGTAGCTTGTACCTGTGATTGTTGATGAGTTAGTACACTGTAAGAAAAAAATATGCAGAAAAATGGAAAAGGTGCTAGTAACTTTCCAGGACATTATCTGTTATCCGTTGTAACCCGAAAACACAAAATACAATGCGTAATTAAAAATGCAGGTACAAAAACCTGTGGAAAAATTAATCCAGAAAATTCCTTTGTATTAACACAGTAGATTGTGCATTATTTTTTACTTTTCTTAGAGTGCAGCATACTAACTAACTACTACTAAACTGCTTTAAAGTATAAAACTTAAATTGTAATGGTTCAAAAATGTGTAAGTTTTCGATAATTCAATGAATTTAAAAATAGTTATTTATATTTTAATATTATATTATGCATTTATATCATTTATACGAACAAATCTAAATGAACATATATAAAATATATATGTTTTTGCTGAGATTTGACAATTTTGCATCGTGATTACATAATGACGTCATCACGCAATGTCATCACAACATCATTTAGCAACTTTTAGCAACAAATCAACCTTCCTTTAGCAACTTCCCCTGAAAATTTGTTGGCAACACTGTTTGTAGGCCAAATAGTCATTTTCAATACCTTTTTAGAATTTCAGATTTCCGTTCGTTCTTAAAATAAGGCCTGTGCTTAACATTAGTCAAATAGATTTTCATGTTTTGTTCTATAACCTAAACACTGCACAATTGTACCTCAAATATGACTGTGTGTAATTTGTTATATTTTTATTCATAAATCAAATTGCTATTCTAAAAACCCATTGGATTTTGGCTCAGAAATGCTCATTTCTGAGCCAAAATCCAATGGGTTTTTAGAGTAGATAACAGATTTGTTTTTTTTACAGACTTTAGAAAAATGTCTGAAAGCATTTGCTGCACATTTAAAATGTAAATAAATAAAACTTTGCACCATGCAAAGCGTCTAAACCTATGACAGTGAAGATATGTGCCCGTGCTCTTGTGCTGTTTAAAGTTGACTGATGATACACAGTGAATCAGTATGCTTCAAATATAAAACAGATGTCCAACTTTTTGCCCAACATTCTGGGGTGTTAAAGCAAAAGCATCTGGAAATGTAAAAATGTGGTTTAAAAGTTGAAGATATGCAAGTTTTATTTACTTTGTCTTTATTAAAATGGATTTCGATTTTCAAATTAATATACTGAAAATTTTATTCAAATGAATGTCGACATTGTAAAGTAGAAACAGCTGGAGAACCATGGTAAATATGTCATTTATATTAATTCTGGCCAACCCTGACCTGTTAGTCATCATCTTGACCTGTTTTTACTTGTCTCTACCAGCAGCAGCTGTGAGACCTGACCTCTGTTGTAAATGAAATAACACTCCTGCGGGGCAAGTTTTACCCATACTTTATTTTGTCCTCCTTACAGTATTACTGAAATGTGATTACTCCATGTATTCATCTTAGAAAAGCATGTTCAGTTTTGTTTTTGAGGTGCTGCAGGGCCTGACTCCCTTTATTGGCAGCATGATCCTCAAGTAAAAATGTTACTTTCTGTAAATGCAAGACCAGCTCAGAGAGAGGTTGATTAGCACAACTCATTGTGGGGGGGGGGGGGAGAAGTTTTTTTGCATCATAAAAAATAATTTTGAAGTTAGAAAGAACCTGTCTCTGTGTTGGTTTCTCAGTAAAACATTTTCCTGTACCTCTTTCATGGTCATTGAAAGCTCCAAAGGTACCTTTCATCATTACAATAGCACACCTGCGGCATAGTGTAACAGGTGTGGCTACTGAGGCAGCCTCAAGACACATCTGAACATGTTTACCAATGTCATCATACCTATGAGGTCATTTCCTGATGTCTAACTTACAGAAACAAACAAACAACAGAACAAAACAACTTGCAAAACCCCTTTGTACATGATGTTCTTCAGTGCTGGCACACATACCACTTTGGCATACATGGATGAAATGCTAATCGATTTTTGCGGTATGTAAGTCATATAAAACCTTAAAGTGTTTTTAGTGGTCTACTCATAATATGATAATATGGTTGACCCATTTAGGGACCATCTTCTTAAGGAATCATCTTCTCTATCACTACATCTGGATTTTTTCATTTGTTATATAGATGTTCAGGAGTAGTGAGAGTGTTTTGACAGCCTAATAGCATAAAGGATTGTTAGATTTTCCCATAATTGATAATAATTATGGGAAAAATATACTCACCCTCAAGCCACCCAAAATGTAGATGGTTTGCTTCTTCATCAGAACAGATTTAGAGGAAATTTAGCATTCCATCACTTGCTCACCAGATGATCCTCTGCAGTGAATGGGTGCCGTCAGAATGAGAGTCCAAACAGCTGATAAAAACATCACAATAATCCACACCACTTCAGTCCATCAGTTAATGTCTTGTGAAGTGATAAACTGTGTGTTTGTAAGAAACAAATCCATCAAGATGTTTTTAACTTCAAACCGTTGCTTCCGGCTGAAATACAAATCTTCTATATTGCTTTCTCCAGTGAAAAGATAATTTCATCTGAATCGGGAGAGAAATATGCACAGATCAAACACCATTTACAGACCCAAACCATCCAAAACATTTCTAAACAAATATGTGTGTGGATTTTGATGTGAGAGGACAACAGGGGATTGATTTTTTTGTTTTAGTTTTTTATGGATGATGCATTATTATGGATTATGGACTCATATTTTGGCTAGAAGTGACGGTTTAAAATTAAAACACCTTAATGATTGATTTGTTTCTTACAAACACGCAGCTTTTCACTTCACAAGACATTACTTGATGGACTGGAGTGGTGTGGATTATTGTGATGTTTTTATCAGCTGTTTGGACTCTCATTCTGACGGCACCCATTCACTCCAGAGGAACATTGGGGAGCAAGGGATGTAATGCTATATTCCTCCAAATATGTTCCAGTGAAGAAACTCATCATCATTTTGAATGGCTTGAGGGTGAGTACATTTTCATCTTTGATGTAACTATTCCTTTAAAAAGAATATTCAAAGTATTCAAATAAGAGCCCAAAAGTGTTCTCTAAAAGCTGAAACACAAACATTCTCCCAGACTGTACATGAAGATGACATTTGGATGACAGGGAGGTTTGAGTTGCCACACACAACAGTTAGTACATACTGAGGCCGTCAGAGGGCGCTAAACACACATGTAGAACGCTCATTTATTCCAGTTTTGAGCTCTGAAGAGATTTAATAATTGCACAATGAAGCATCCGACATGAGAAAGCCCACCATAGTTTCAAAAACGTTTTTACAAGCTCTTACACGCACAGGCTTTAATTTTCAAATCTGGACTGACCTACAAATGTGTGGGTGGTCTATTTACAGTGTCTAATTTTAATATAAACACGTTTTCTAAATGTTTAAATTGCATAATTAAATTCGGATTTGATGTTTAATTTGATTCAAATGTTTATGAGTGCAGATAATAAACAGTGGCGCTACAGCAGACAGCTTGTTTTCCTGTATTTATGTAACGCACACACAAACACATGCGCGCCGCGTTTGCATGCTGAGAGGTGCTGAGAGTTTGCCAATAAAATAGCATTGGTGTTCAAAGCTTCTTAGGGACAGTATCACATTGCATTGCCACAATAAACAGTATAACAAACAAATACACACACACACACTTACCCGTAATAAACATATCTCATGTGTACATGTGAGTCATAATACACACAACATAGAGTTGAAATAAGTGGATAAGGCTGTATTTATTCAACCAAAGATACAGTAAGAACTGTAATGTTGTGAAATATTATTACAATTTAAAATAACTCTTTTCTATTTGAATATATTTTAAAATGTAATTGATTCCTGTGATCAAAGCTGAATTTTCAGCATCATTAATCTTCAGTGTCACATGATCCTTCATTCTAATATGCTGATTTGATG